TATTAAAATGCATAATTAATCTATAGAGTTTCTATCTCTAACCCCCCCCCCCCCCATCTTAATAACTCTATTAATGGAATGGGGATGCGTGAAGCCAGGGGCAGAGAGAGAGAGAGAGAGAGAGAGAGAATGAGTGTTTTCTTATCCCTTCCAGTCTGGGAAATAACATGCGATGTTAGGAAGTTTTGGCAAGCTACAAGCATTATCTGCTGTTTATTTTCCTGTTTCTTTTATTTTTATTCCAGTTAATGCTCTCCTTTTCCTCCAGAGAGCCCTTATATAGGGCTGCCCCCAATTGTTTAGGAGCTTTGCGACTAAATGAGAATTTGAATGTAAATCTCTTGTTTCTAATCTAGTACTCTAATCTGTCCTCCATCTTGATATGTTTCAGATATGTTAAACCACAATTAAACATATCTGTGCTGGCTAAGGATGATGTAAAGTGTAGTAAAATAAACCTAGTGGCTGGGGAAAGCTTCTGTCATTGCAAAAATGCATGGAGACATTGTGTGTGTTGCATTGCATTGTATTATTGCATTAAATATTGAATTGCACGAAGATACAATGTACATATGTATGTGGCTGCATAGAGTGTACCTAGCAGTATGTAAGGTTTTAGTCTATGTTGGGGCTTTGAAGGCTCTTTGTGAACATTCCCCTGTTAGCACAAGGGAAGATGTTTCTTCTTTTTAAAAAATAAAATGAAATGAAAAGGCTCAGCAAAACAATGGATCATTTTGAACAGAACTGAGTTTGCAGGTTCAAGTCTAATTGGACAAACCATCTCCTTCAGCGGGTGAACCCCTTATGAAGTGTGAAATTTGAATATTTCAAATATTTGAATATTTTACACTTTCCAGATTGATAGCCATCTTAAGAAATGGAAATGACACCATTGAAGGCAGAACTAAAGATTTTATTTTAAGGAAACTTACAGGTAGTTCTCCATTTATGACCAGTTGCTTAGTGATTGTTCAAAGTCACGATACACCCAGGAAATGGGACTCCACCCCCCCCCCCAGAACTGTAATAGCAATAGCACTTAGACTTATATACCACTTCATAGTGCTTTACAGCCCTCTCCAAGTGATTTGTAGAGTCAGCATATTGCCTCCAACAGTCTGGGTCCTCATTTTACCGACCTCGGAAGCATGGAAGGCTGAGTCAACCTTGAGCGGGTGAGAATCGAACTGCAGAAGTAGCCTGCAATACTGCATTTTAACCACTGCACCACCACGGCTCATGGTGATTGTGGATTCTCTTATGACTGCTGCAAAAAAGGTTGTAAAATTGTTTTGCGACCATCATGATTTACAACCATGATGGGAAGCCTCTATTCCAGGGGTAGGCAACCTTGGCTCTTTTATGACTCGTGGACTTCAACTCCCAGAATTCCTGAGTCAGCATGGCTGGCTCAGGAATTCTGGGAGTTGAAGTCCACGAGTCATAAAAGAGCCAAGGTTGCCTACTACTGCTCTATTCATAGGTCAAGGACTGTGTATTGTAAAATGTATTTATTATAAAGGGAAACAACAAAGTGGCTCTGAATTGATTTGAAATGACCTTTTAGATTTGGTTCTGCCAATGGTACATCCATGTTATTTGTAGCTTCCTAAGACCTTGAGGCGGGCCCTAGGAAGAATGATTTATAGTAACCAAACAAAAAGAAGAGTTATCCATTGTGGAAAATTCAGTGGGAGTTTGGAGACCTTGGCCTTTACTAGACCTGCCCCATATTACCTGGTTATCTGCCTACTTCAATTACCTTTATGCTTTGTAGAGGTGGATTAATATTTGGATATTGAGATGGGGAGCATGTAAATTTAACAAATACACATTTCCAAGGTGGGAAAGTCACTCACATCACCTGGACTTAGATTCATAAAGTGTCTCCACTAATTCAATAACAATCAGCCTCTTCTCTTTACGAAACCCCAGATAGCTTCTGCGTACTTTTCACTTTAAAAAAGCCTTAAGTGAATATAACCTATTTTCCAAAGCACCTGAAAGCAGAACAAGAAGCAATGGATGGAAACTAATCAAAAAGAAAACCAACCTAGAAATAGAGAAATTTCCTGACAGAATAATTAGTCAATGGAATGGCTTGCCTCCAGAAGTTGTGGAGGTTTTTAAGAAGAGATAAGACAACCATTTATGCGGAATGGTATTGGGTCATTTGCTTGAGCAGGGGGTTGGACTAGAAGATCTCCAAGGTCCCTTCCAACTTGGTTATTCTGTTAATTTTGCAAACAGTCTTTGAACACTATCGCCTTTCCTACCTTTTAAATTTTGTGTATATCTGTGTGGAATATACTTTGGTTTGATCACCCTCACCAGTTCCAGAAAACACAGCTGATATTATTCTAAAAGAGCAGGATGGGAAGAAAGAAGTAAAACATTATGCAGAGCAAAATTGAAAAACATAGGTAGCACTATGGTGTTTTTTTGTAGTTGCATTAAGCATCTTACTCCACCGCCAGGCTCAATCCTGCAACGTAATCACATTGGAAATTTTTTTTTTATTAGAAAACAAACTCTAAATGAGATTTATGAATATTCATTAGGAGTGGAGATTAATATGCATAATTATGCAAATTAGACAGCAATTAAACACCAATTCTCCAGGGAAATGATTAACACAAAAGGCTTCGGAATGGAAGCATGTAATTTTGAAAGAAATTTCTGGTTAAATGAACAGTACGGAGAGGGAAGGAGAGAAAAAGATGGTGTGTTTCTCATAATAATATGCTTTAAAAATTCCACGTATACAAACATAGTAGAGTTGGACTACAAAGCCTCCTTGTGATGATAGAGATGTAGTTACAATCTGAGCATAAGATGAAATTAAAGAAATCGTGCTAAGATGGACACCATCTCCTAATGAAACTGGTTTGCCATCTTGGTCTTGGCTGATTTCCAGATCTCTCATTCCAGCATCAGTCAAGGAGTGGAAATATCCTATTGGAAAGGAAAAATACCCATTGTACACACAAAACATTCCCTGCCAGTAATATTTTGGACATGGAAGGGGACAGTCTTGTTCCAGACATGGTTTGATTTGCAATCATATTAGAGCAGGTGTGAAGCGCAGGAAATCAGGAGTCCAGGAAGTCCAAATGAATATGCAGGTTTATTGTATGTTAAAGCTTTCTACAAGAATCTGAACTACTACCAGCTAAAGCAAATTGGCGGTGGGTAAGAGTCAGTGGAATTCAAGGTGGGCTGGACTTAGATCTCTTGTGAGCCTGAAGGGACTCGAGACTAATAACACGTTTGACCCCTCCCTCGGGCTCAGCCTGGTCTCCTACAACAGGACTAAAACGGTCTTCTGACCTATTTAGAATTGCCTGCAATTGTTCAAAGGGAGGAGACCAGCGTAGGATTGACCTCCCATTTTATAGGGACTTTGCTTATTTATTTATTTGCAGAATTCACCTTGTTCCCATACAAAAACACTTGGCAACTTGAGAGGGAGGGACTGCTCTAGTCTAAGGAGACCAAAAATAGTGGAATAGCTTCTTCCAAAGGCAGTTAGCTCATCTCAAGCCATTTTCCTCGGCAGGGAAGCCAGGAGTACATTCTTGATCCTTCTTGTACTTTATGGCAGTATTTGAGTTGGACTTTCCCCAACTTGGCAGCCTCGAGATGCGTCAGGACTAAAATTCCCAGAATTCTCAGTTGGAATGGAGAATTCATAGTGTTCATGAATGTATATAGTACCACAGCGAGACCTAAGAAAGCTTTTCCCAAGCAGATGTCCATAACCCTTTCCCGGAATCTGTAATCTGCAGCTGTGCTACAACTTCCATAAGAAACACCAGGAATTAAATCTCTGCGTGGATGAGAAATAAAGAGGTCTATTTTGCTGCAACATTTCTTCAGACTTCTGGGGAAGGTGGTTTGCTTTTTGGGGTCCTCATTCCATATCTGGGAGCAGGTAAAGTTCAATCAGGGCTGAAATGGGATGGAGATGTCAGCAAAAGAGGAAGGTCCTTCTTGATGATGACCAGGGTCTATGACATCTATGACACCTCAGCGTGGCCGTCTTGCCACGACCACGTCATCATGGCCACCTCAATGGAGCCACCTCAGAGCTGCCATCTCAGCGCGGGACAAATTGCCAGCCTGCTAGAGGCTGGACCCTGATCTGGAGACGCAGCCTGTTGCGACATTGTGGTTCACAACCGCCTCTTGTGAAGGGAGGTGTCAAGTTGCCCATGGCAAGTTTCCCATGGTGATTTGTTCTGCACTGAGATGGCAGTGCCGGAATGGCCACGACGAGATAGCCATGGTGACATGGCCATGGCAAGATGGCAGGGCCAAGGTGATGGTGCCAATATGTCTCATTCTGGACCACTTATGGCTTCTTTTCTTTATACAACATAAATGATGGACCAATTAGGTTTGGCTAAGAGAAGAAAATAATTTATTCCATTAACTGCTTCCTTCCCACCCACCCCCCTTCATAATTTGAGTATCCTGAATTTTTCCACCTCCTTTCCTGTAATGTTCCTCTAGCCCAGAGGTCCCCAACCTTTTGGGCACCAGGGACCAGTTCCGTGGAGAGAGGTTTTTCCGTGGACCGGAGGGGGCGTGGTTTTGTGTGCTGCCTGCATCTCGTGGATGGGGCTTTCCTTGTTTGTGCGGCCCAGTTTCTGGCATGCTGCGGCCTGTTGCCGGTCCACGGACCAGGGGTTGGGGACCCCTGCTCTAGCCAAAGCAGCTTTGGGGAAGGTAAGTTGTCTGTGTTACAACCCCCTTGGAGTGTTACAAATATTAAATAAAGTTTGCCCTCTCACAATTTTGCCAAACATATCAACTGAGGTTCCTTTGAAGCTGAATCTGTGTGGAAAATTTGCAAAACAGGAAAAGTCAGTGTTGGTTTGGGATTTTCATCCAAATATTTTTGTATTTGTGAAAGGAAGAGTTAACTTTGAGAGAGTCTGTCTTTTGAAGATCCTGTAGATCAAAGTAATCTTTGTTTTTTCTCTTCTTCTTTCCCCGAAAGGTTTGGATGAGCGACCGACCTCAGGTTCTTGGGCAACAGGAGATCAGAACAACTCCACGTTTGACCAAGTCAGGGTAAGGATCAGGAAGATCTGTTCATTGCAAGATGCAAATGGTTCTTTGTGGGTTTGTCCACACGTTGTGTCTTTTGGGATGGGAAAGTGAATTACTCTAATTCCTTTTTTTTCCTGAAAATATAGGAAAAGTAGCTTTCCTCTCAACTTAATTCTTGCTGAGCTATTTAATTTTGAGGAATCAAATCTAATTTTAAGGAATTATTTTCTGAGAGCATCCAGTCACATGTCCTACACAGTGGTTCTCAACCTGTGGGTCGGGACCCCATTTGGGGTCGATCGACCATTTCATGGGGGTTGCCAAGCAAGGCTGTCCGCCATTTTTTTGTCCGCCATTTTTTTCCCCTTTTCCGGCGGGTGCCTTACCTCCCTTGGGCTGGGCCAGCTGGTGGTCGGCCTGCTCCATCTCTGCCGCTTGCCAGCTACGCCTCGGCCGGCGCAGGGGGCGGAACCACGCATGCGCGGCGCTCCCGGGCAGGGAAAGTTCTCGCCGTACGACCGGTTGGGTAGTCCTCGACTTACGACCGGTTTAGTCCTCGACTTACAACCGGTTTAGTCCTCGACTTACGACCGGTTGGGGGTCGCGGCATTAAAAAGGTTGAGAACCACTGTCCTATAGGAAACCGATCCACAAGCAGGAGGTGAAAACAACAAACTTCTTGTTTGTATATGCTTAGCGGGATCATAGTTACAGGATTTTTTTTTAACCTTACTCTTTAGCTCCTGAAGCTCCCAGACCTGCTTACATACTGTACAATAATGTAAAATTGGTGCTGCTCATTCAGCTTATAGTCCAGTGATGGCGAACCTTTTAGAGACCGAGTGTCCAAACTGCAACCCAAAACCCACTTATGCATCATTGGGTGCAGCCCATTGGGTGGGCGTGGCCCATTGGGTGGGTGTGGCCCATTGGGTGGGCGTGGCTGCGGTGGTAACAGCAGACTGGATGGGACTAAAAAGTTCAATCAATCAATTCCAATTTTGCAAGATCTTTTTTTTTTCCCACAAGAAGTTGAAATTGACTGATTGATTGAACCTTTTATTTTGTGTACACGGCGGTGGAGGCCTAAAGCGAAAAGGTTTTATAAAACCCAGCTGAAGGCCTAGGAGTGGGGCAACGGCGCATGTGCCCACAGACAGGGCTCTGAGTGCCGCCTCTGGCACCCGTGCCATAGGTTCGCCACCACTGTTATAGTCTAATACAGAAAGAAAAAGGGATGAAGAAGGAAGATGAAATGACAGACTTAAGAATCCATTCTTAAAGTTCTGTTGCAGTTCAAGCTAAGTTCAGGTCATAAAATGATCTGCTGGAATGGAATTAGTCGAGAGAAAAACAGAGCCTGAAGAAGGAATTGGTATTTTAACAAAATTGAGGTTTATTCCATGGAGCCTAATGGAATGGCTGATACACACTTAAAAAGATTTCCATGAATTTAAGGTTCTGCTTAGCTATCTGAGTTAATTGTTTGGTCATCTTGTTTTTGAGTTTGATCTGTCTTCCTTCCAGCATTAATCATCCATTTTTTTGAACTACGTTCGGCTTATTTTCTTTCCCATGATAATAGCAGGTGAAGATAATGATCTCTCCAGAACCTTTTCTGTTCTGGAGAGCACCAGATGTATTTAGTTATGGAATTTAGAAGCCGCCCATCTCATTCTGAGGTGGATTCCGCCTTTTATGATGGAGACTTTCTGTATGTGCTGAGGTTTTGTTGTGATTTCCTCACTTCCCTCCATAACCCTGATGCAGCATAGCTTAAGCCTAAGGGAAGTGTGTTTACTTATTTAACTTCTGCACCACTTCAGCTGAGAGCCGGTCTAGTGTAGTGTTTAAGGCAGTGTTTCTCAACCTTGACAATTTTAAGGCATGTGGACTTCAACTCCCAGAATTCCACAGCCAGCAATGCTGGCTGTGGAATTCTGGGAGTTGAAGTCCACATGCCTTAAAAATTGTCAAGGTTGAGAAACACTGGTTTAAGGCATCAGGCTAGAAATTGGGAGACTGAATCCTAGTCCCGCCTTGGGCAAGAAGCCAGCTGGTTGACCTTGGGCCAATCATTCTCTCTCTCTCTCTCTCTCAGCCTAGGAAGGAGGCAATGGCAAAACACTTCTGAAAAAACCTTGCCAAAAAAACTTCAGGGACTTGTTATCCAGGCAGTCTTTGAGAATCGGGCATGATTGAACAGAAGGGGGAAAAAAAACAAAACTTGGAAAATGAGAGTATATAGAAACAGTTTGATAGTCAGTTGGAGTCGATTTGACCCATGCCAAGATTGCTGGCCTTTATAAGAGCCAACTAAATTGAATTTTAAAAGTGTATTTTGATTTGGAAATGGTTCTGGGATACCCTTAGCCTAGTTCAGGGGTAGGCAACCTAAGGCCTCAAGGTCTTAGGAAGCTACAAATTACATGGATGGTACCAAGTTGGCAGAACCAAATCTAAAAGGCCATTTCAAATCAATTCAGAACACTTGTTGTTTCCCTTTATAATAAATACATTTTGCATTAAATACAAAGTCTTCGACCTATGAATAGAGCAGTGGTAGGCAATCTTGGCTCTTTTATGACTCGTGGACTTCAACTCCCAGAATTCCTCAGTCAGCGTGGCTGGCTCAGGAATTCTGGGAGTTGAAGTCCACGAGTCATAAAAGAGCCAAGGTTGCCTACCCCTGGCCTAGTTGATTGAGACAGGAGTGGGTAGGCAGTGTGCTTCGTGACTTTGTGCATATGGATGCTATTTTTGTTTTCCTTACAGCAGGGCTATGGCGAAGGTTCACACTACAGTGAACACAGGGACCTGCCATCCCATAACAGCATATCTTCGTCGTCATTCCTGGGGTCTGGAATAGTAGGTAAGTGTCCCTGCTTGGAGCAAGTCTTGACACTGTAAACTTTTGCTCATCTGGAGCTCTGTCCACCGGCAAGATGACTGCTGTATTTGATGGGACCGGTCCTGTTTGATTTTAAATAGAAAGATAGATGATAGTAGATCTTACCTGCTTTCTTCCTTGTCATCTCATCAGCCTTCTGATGATGCTTTCTTGACCACCTTGGTTGTTAGTCCTGGTTTGACTTGTCTCCCAGCCATCACCATTTCCTGATTCCTTTGCCTCATGTGTGGGAAGAATGGGAAAAGTCAATCTTGCTCGGGATCAAGAGAATCCTTATGTTCATAAGAATTATTGCAGGCCTATTTAACAACAATGGGTTTTTTTTGGCTGCTTCCAGTTAAATGGAGCCAGCAGCATCACTTTTCTTGCAAGGCCGTTTCTGAAGGTTCTTGGTGCTGTCTGAGTCTGGTTGTTTTCTTGCAAATGTTTCATTACCCAGACCAGGTAACTTCGTCAACAGTGATGATGTCACAGATATTCCTCGACTTATGACTACAGTTGACCCCGAAATTTGTGTTGCTAAATGAGACCTTTGCTAAGCGAGCGTTGCCCCATTTTACAAACTTTCTTGCCACAGTTGTTAAAAATGAATCACTGCAGTTGCAAAATTAGTAACATGGCTGTTAAGTGAATCCGACGTCCCCGTTGACTTTGCTTGTCCGAAGGTTGCAAAAGTGGATCACGGGACCCTGGGACACGGCAACCGTCATAAATATGAGTCAGTTGCCAAGCATCTGAATTTTGATCACTTGACTATGGGGATGCTGTAACCGTTGTAAGTGTGAAAAATGGTCATAAGTCCCTTTTTTCAGTGTTGCTGTAACTTTGAATGGTCACTAAATGAACTGTTGTAAGTCGAGGACTACCTGTACCTAGTTTGGGTAATGAAACATCTGCAAGAGAACAACCAAATTCAGACAGCACCAAGGATCCCTCGTTTTAACCCTAAGCTGCAAATATTCTCCTTTAGAAGCTGTGTTTGTACATATAAGGCCTCATGGCTCACATTTTTGAGGTACTCTAACCGATCCCCCTCCCCCACACCTCCTGAGAGTATTTGTGAATTAATCAACAGTAGGGAAGGAAAGCAAAGAGATTGGTGGGAATTATTTAACTGTTAGGAAGGAAACCAAACCGCCTGAGTAGATCTCTTTCAAGTAATTATTTCTAGCAATTAACTCCTTTTCAGGGCTAAGCTTCCTAATCTAGCCAGCATTGTAACTGGTGTGCATCCTGGACAATGGTTTTTAATCGGTTCACAGTCTTCCGCTCCTCCCTCCCAACTGCCTTTAATCTCAACATGTTATCTTCCCTCCTCTGTTCCCTTGCTAGAAATTATACACTTAATAGAATGATTGATTTTGAAAATCCCATTTTTCTTCCAAATGCCACAGTGAGAAGGAAACCCTTTATGTTCCTTGAACCATGCCCTGAAATATCCACATGTTCATGTTTGGCCCCCAGCTGAGGCATGTGGGCGATTTGGAGGGCAGGGGGTACACAAAAGAACATTGCATCTTTCTCCTGAATGCCAATCTGGCTGCCTTGGGGTGGTCTGGCATTTTTTTCTGGAAGTTAATCCTCTGAACCGGAAGCTGTTTGGGGTGTTCTGGACAAGATACTAAAATGTTGGGTTTTGCTCATGCGTAGGATTACATTGGCCGTGTCCTTACATAATGCTAAGCCAGGATTTCTTAACCATTGTGTGTTAAAAGATCCAGAGTGTGTTAATTTACACAGCAAGTGAAAAACAGCAATAGGCAGGGCTCATTGATTATGGAAAGTCAAGTGCCAACAAATAGCATTTTATGTAGATGAGCCAATGAATGCCAACCATAGTTAAACATATATTTTTTTAAATCCCCACAGGTGTAAGGTAGCTTCTCTCCCTCTCTGACTGAGAGCTAACAAATTTGCATAGTTGCATAGTTATTCTTTAGTGTGAGCAACATACTAGGCATAGCAAACTAAACCATAGTTTGCATGATACCTTGAAAGCCTTACTTTAGAGTGAAGGCAACAAAACCATGGTTATTGCTAACCCAAGTTAAGCTTATTTGAATCGTGATTCTCCTTTGGCTGGAGTTCAGCCAAAAACCTCACACACACACACACACACACACACACACACACACACACGTTTTTGTGTGTGTGTGTGTGTGTGTGTGTATATATATACATATGTGTGTGTGTATGTGTATACATATATATATGTGTGTCTGTGTGTCTGTGTAAGGCCTATGACAGTAGATGTGGAATTCTGAATTTCTCCAACCTACTAATTGGATTAATTGCCTTCTCTCCTCTCTGCCCCCTCCAGCCAATCTGTCTCCTTATTGACAATTCTTAACCCTTTCAGAAACAGGCATCTTTTAGAGATGCAATCAAAATTCAACATTACCATCTTCCTGATAAGGCAACTGCTTTCCAAGGCATAATATATTAGTTCCATGCATAGAACTAGACATGTTTTCTGTTTCATATGTACTTCTACTGACCACCCTTATAGCGGTGTAGATTTTATCATACTTTCTAAAAGTTATTTGCGGGCGGGGGAGAAAGGTCCTGGGATTGACGCAAGTAGCTCTTTGGGCATTGTGATAGTGTTCGCTCTCTTACTTGAAATCAAGCAATAACAGCTACGTGATTGCTATTATCATAGCTGGCATTTGAAAACATGCTAGCTTTTAGTATACAGGCAGTCCTCAACGTACGACCATAACTGAGCCCCAAATTTCCATTGCTAAGCAAGACAGTAGCTAGGTGAGCTTTGCCCCATTTTACGTCCTTTCTTGCCATAGTGGTTAAGGGAATCACTGTAGTTGTTAAGTTAGTAACACGGTTGTTAAGCGAACCTGGCTTCCCCATTGATTTTGCTTGTCAGAAGGTGAATTTTGATCATGTGTCCATGGGGATGCTTTAGCGGTTGTAAGGGTAGAAAAATGGTTATAGGTCACCTTTTTTCATTGCCGTTGTAAATTCAAATGGTCCCTAAACAAATGGTTGTAAGCCGAGGACTACCTGTATTACAAAATGAGGTGGTGGCAGGGGGCAAAGAAGGAGAGTGGCTGCAGTTCTCTTCTCCCAACAGCCTCATATCATGTCTAAGCAGCAGGCCTGATTTGAAGGCATCCATGTGTAAACTCCCAGTAGGGTGAGCAAATTGCCTGTGTGGAGCACACCTGTTCTTCACTGATGAAATGCATTGTCAAATGGAGAAAGATATCCTAAAGCCAGGATGTCACTGCTCTCTCTCTCTCTCTCTCTCTCTCTCTCTCTCTCTCTCTCTCTCTCTCTCTCTCTTTTCTCTCTCTCTCTCTCTCTCTCTCTCTTTTCTCTGCAGTTTGGCTTTAATTTGGTCCATTGGTTGCAGCTCTAACTGTTGTGTGTGTATGTGTGTCGGTATGCATGCATGCCATTACCTCAATCATATTGCAACTCTGCAGAAATGATTCAGGATTGTTGTGTGTCATAATCAAGAAATCCCTGCAGGCAAAACCTCACAGAATTTCTATTTTGACCATCTCTTTGCAATAATGACCCATCCTTGATCTGTATATTTGTATATTAATGGCCCTTACATGGTTCAGATTTCTTATTTAATCACGATTTGGTTGGTGTGCTAATCCTTTGTTATTTCCATTTCATTCTTATTTGAAAAATTAGTTTGTATTTTAATTTACTCCCAAAAGCTTTGAAAAGGAGTCATACAGTAGAGTTATAATGAGAGAATCTGACAACTTCCATTTAGCTTATCTCCCCAGTCTTAAGGTTATTTTTGCCGGGTTTCTTCCCCAATTTATGAATTTTCAAGGCAGACTGCATTAAAATTGGCATGAATTTTTTTCCTTAATACTGAACTTTACTTTTGCATGCTATTTCCCAATAGTTGCATTCTTTGGAAGCCATTTCTCACTAAGGGCTGGGTTTGCCCAAATAACACAATTTTTTGAATTCACAAAAGTACAGATTTGAGTGTATTATTGTTTTCTAGCTCTATAGAACTGAGAGATGTAAGAATTATATAAGCTTCAATTAAAATGTTTACCGTGCAAATGTTCTTCTCCATTTCCAGCCAAAAAAAGACATATGAGACTCAGTGGGCTTAGATTGTAGACGGATTATGAGTATTCCCTTCCCATTTTATAGCTCCAGGAATTCACCAAAATTATATTTCTGAAATTTGGCTGCAAAAATGTTGAAAAATGTAGAGCCGTGGTGGCGCAGTGGTTAGAATGCAGTATTGCAGGCTAATTCTGCTGACTGCCAGCAGTTTGATCCTCACCAGCTCAAGGTTGACTCAGCCTTCCATCCTTCCAAGGTCGGTATAATGAGGACCCAGATTGTTGGGGGGCAATAGGCTGTCTCTGTAAACTGCTTAGAGAGGGCTGTAAAGCACTGTGAAGCCGTATATGCATCTAAATGCTATTGCTATTTTTAGGGATACAGGTGGTCCTCAACTTACCAATGACTTAACAACCAAAGAGTTATGACACACTTAAAAAAACCCTACTTAAGACCTAACTTGAAGTTACAACTGCCTCCCCCCTTACTCCCAGTTACATGATTGCATTTCAGGCACTTGGCAACGAGCTTGCATTTATGATCAGTTGCAGCATCCCATAGTCACGTGGCTGCAATGTACAATATTTTTTGCTGTTTTATAGCAGAAAACGGTTTTTAAAACCCTCCCATTTGATACACTGGATTTGCTTAACAACCTTGTGGTTCGCTTACTGATTGCTGTGACTTTTTTTACAACCATTGTAAAAATACAGTAATCATAAAATAGAATTTGGTCACGTGGTAACTTGCTAAATAACCACAAAAACTTTACAACCAAAATTCTGAACTCAGTTGTGGTTGTAAGTTGAGATCTATCTGTACAATGTGCCCACTCCCTTATTCCTTTTTGCTAAAATACAGAGGGAAATTAATGCACTGGAAGTGCTTGATGTATCTAATTTGTCTCCCCAAATGCCTAGCTACAAAAATAATACAGGTTAGTCCTCAACTTACAACAGTTCATTTAGTGACAGTTCAAAGTTACAACGGCACTGAAAAAAATGACTTACGATCATTTTTCACGCTTATGACCGTTGCAATATTCCCCACGGTCACGTGATCAAAATGGATGCTGGGCAATTGACTCATATTTATGACAGTTGCAGTGTCCCAGCATGATGTAATCACCTTTTGTAACTTTCTTATAAGCAAAGTCAACGGGGAAGCCGGATTCACTTAACAACCATGTTACTAATGTAACAACTGCAGTGATTCACTTAACAATTGTGGCACAAAATGTCATAAAATGGGGCAAAACTCGCTTAACAAATGTCTCACTTAGCAATAAAAATTTTGGACTTAATTGTGGTCGTAAGTCAAGGACTACCTTATTAACTTGGATTTACTAGCAAACACGTGCCAATTGATTTAAAAAAAAACCACTGGACTAACTCTTAGCCAAGAACTAATTTCTAAAGTACTTCCCCCCCCCCCATAAGAGAGCTGAGAAAGAGGAAAAATCCCCCCCCCACACACACTCATTTACCTCCCCTCTCATCCTGATCTTGTCAAGATTAATTCCTGTGCACAGCTACAGAAGCTCTAACCTAGAAGGAAGGATCTTGCCATTTGCTTTTCAGATGCTCCTGAACGTCTCTGTTGTGGTTTAACCCGAGTCAGCACAGTGGCAAAAAAAAACAAAAAAAAAAACCCAACAACAACACCCCACCAGGGCTATTTTTGTGCGGGGGGGGATGGCAGGGGGCGGAGAGGAGAATGAGGGCAGTCATATGGCAAAATTAGTTCCTAAACCGCTTTTAAAAAATTAGGTCAGTTAAAAGATTTCGCCCTACAACCTTCTGACCTCCTGTTTACTTAATGCTAAGCCTCTCAAATGAATGGGAATGTGCGTGGCATAATGCCTGCTTGCTGTTGAAAAGTGTTCTATCAATCCCGGGTTTCCCAGTGTACATTTGAGAAAAGTCAGAATCAGCCTTGATCGGCTGGATGACCGCCTCTGAAGGACATCTGCTGGGAGACTGGTTGGCTTCCTGGTGCAGGTGGTGGACCATGGTGAGAACAGGCAGCTGAACCAGATGGGGGCCGGAGGGTCCGAGCAAACTGTTTGCGTTCATGTGAATGACATTTCTTTTAGTGTGAGTTTTCAGCATGGGAGGAGTAGTTGTCAGGTGTGAAAGACCAGGTCCACAGGTGAAGTTTCAATAAACTGATTTTTTTTTTTGTTGCTAAAAGCCTATGCTCAGGAATCTTTTATTGCTAGAAACTTACGCACAGGAATTTTTTCTTGCTAAAAGCCCATGCACAGGAATCTTCTCAACTAACAGTAGACACCTGCTTAAAATTAGAAAAGAGTCAACGGCGCTTAAAGAGGACTGGATTCCGTTCTCTTATGGCTACGTAGAGATTCTAGGCTGATCCCCCTTTTCACTCCACCCCAGAGTCTGCCATCCCTAACAGACGTGGCAATCTTGGCTCCCAGCAAGCAGGGTTGTATTGAGCTTCTTTTGGTGGATTCTCCCTTGCATCCACAGTCATTTCAGCAGCGCTGGGATCACTGCTTCAGATGACTGCTGGAAGGTAGGATTTCTCCCCAGGGATCCTAGCAAGAGCGGAGGCTTCCGCTCTCCCCTTGTTGAGCCCCTTACCATCGGGTAGCGCTGGGATCAGCACTACAGCCCGGCCCCCTCCCCACCTTTCCACTCTCCTACGAGGCCACGGAGGCCTCATTTGGCTTCACTTTCGGATCTGCTTCACCGGATTGCTGCTGTGGGATCGCGGAGACCTCAGACGGCTCCCTTTCCCTCCGGATCGTGCGGCCGCCATTTTGAGCTCTGAGACACATTCAGATGCTAAAGTCCAACAGCCTCTAAGTCTTGAAACAAAAGTCTGTGGAGATTCTCAACCATCCAGGTCAGGGTTGTTCCAAAGGTGCTTTTTCAAGAGGCAACCTGACTTCGTTTTCCCTTGAAGACGTTTCGCTTCTCTCATCCAAGAAGCTTCTTCGCTTCTCTCATTCTTGAATGAGAAGCGAAACGTCTTCAAGGAAAAACAAAATACAGTTGCCTTTTGGAAAAAAAACAACCCACCTTTGGGTCTTGAAACAAATGCCATGAAGCTGGGGGAAGATGCAGAAAGGAGGGTCGGAAATTTGGATAATTCAGAGGAGCCTCCTGTAGGAAGGCAGCTGCAGAGTTAGAAGTTCTGGCAAGACCAACCGACGAAGGCTGATCTTGCTTCTGAGCCCCCTCTTTCCACCAAGACTAACTGGCTGCTACCCAAAACAAACTTTGAATTAGATGGAATGAAGGGGTTCAGCCAGCAAACAGTTAGGAGATTGCAGTATACGGTCCTGACAAGATCATTGGACAAGGAAAAAGCAGGGTCTGAATCCTTGTGGTATTTTTGACTGGCACGGCATTTTGCCCTGATTACATTGCTTGGAGGATGAAAACCTTAAAAGTAGTGAGAAATACCAATGACTGCAAGCTAATTTGGAGAGGGGGGACTGGGGGCCTAACAAAGGAAAAAGAAGGCAGATACTGAGGAGATTGTGAAAACTGGTGAAAGCAAAGCGTTACCCTGGCTTTCTTGCCTTTAAAAAAAATATGACAACACTGAACAGTTTTAATTCTTATCTCCATAAGTGCAAGCTGAGGTTTGTATGAGTGTGTATACATCAGTGAGAGGGTGACTTTGGCATGCATTCTTTCCCATGGGTGTAAAATGTATGTCTAATGTTACGTCCAGGCCCCATAAACATCCTGTCGGAGTATAAAACATTGTTTCTAGAATAAAGGGGCCCAGTGAAAAATGTTTTATTTCATTTCCTTATAAGATTTCGCGTAGAGGGAACTGGGTGTTTTTAGCAGAGGGAAGAAGTATGGTTACAAGATGTTTCATCCATGTCTCAGATAGGATCTGGACTTTTACCCAGGGCCACAGAAATAATAATGCTTTATTGATGTAATATGTAGAAGAAGCATAGAAGAGTTCTCATATGAAATGAGGTCTTCTCAGCTAGAATATGGAAAAGATCAAACCTTTTCACCTAGAACAGGGGTAGTCAACCTTGGCTCTTTTATGACTCGTGGACTTCAACTCCCAGAATTCCTGAGCCAGCATGGCTCAGCTTGGAAACCTCTCCCTTTCCCCTCAGCATGGCTGGCTCAGGAATTCTGGGAGTTGAAGTCCACGAGTCATAAAAGAGCCAAGGTTGACTACCCCTGACCTAGAATATGGAGAAAATAGGGTCTTCTCTCAGCTAGAATGTGGAAAGAATGGCGGTCTTCTCAACTAGAAAATGGAGAGGATGGGAGTCTTCCCAGCTAGAATATAGAGAGAATGGGATATTTTCAGCTGAAGTATGGAGAGATCTTCTCAACTAGAAATTTATACTGCAGGAATTGTGTGTGGGGGGGAGGGTGTTACTTCTTGTGTTTCTGAAAAAAAGCACCACTATTTTTTTTTAATTTATTTTGCTTTATTTTAATTTTATTGCTAACTGGCTAAGTATCTCAGCTATGTACATTTATTTTGTTTTAAGATGTTCTTAGTGTTTTAATTATGTTTCTGGATTGTAATCTACCAGGAGTCATTGAGATGGGAATCTGTAGAAATTGAATAAATAAATAAAAATAAATAAGGCTGGTTTGAGAAGATCTAAGATATTGGTTGTTGGTAGGGAAGTGCAATGATTTGAATCCAAAATTGAAGATGTGCCACAGATACGGCTGCAAGACGCATCAGCACTTCCTCTGAGAAGCTGTGTCTGTTTTGGGAGTTCATATAGCAGCCAGGAAAATATCCTTTTGAGTTATCCAGATATGCAACAAGCTGTTTCAGGGTGTGCTGTTGCTACTTCCTTAAACTCAAACGTATATTTTCCTGCAATCCTGCAGCAACAATGCAAGGCTGGGAAACCATGCACTTTTTAAAGCAGTGTTTCTCAACCTTGACAATTTTAAGGCATGTGGACTTCAACTCCCAGAATTCCACAGCCAGCATTGCTGGCTGTGGAATTCTGGGAGTTGAAGTCCACATGCCTTAAAATTGTCAAGGTTGAGAAACACTGTTTTAAAGGATGCGCCAACTGTTGCAAAGCAATTTTCTGGCTTCAAATCCGAAATGTTGCACATCCCAAGATGTTGGATTTCCAACAAGATTATCTGCAGGCTCCAGCAAATCAGGAAAATCTTTGTTTTCTCCCTGTATTCTGACTTATGTCTCCATTTGTGGTAGTTTTCCAACACTTCCGATTTGCTCCCAGCTAATCGAAGGTGAGACTAGATAGAAAATTCTCTTTATCAGCATCTGTTGGGGAACTGTTGGGAAATCCTGCTGTACATAAATAGGTTGTCTTGAGGTATTATTGAATTGTGTCTTATTTTTAACCCTGATTTGACTTTTAGAAGGTGGAATTGGGTTTTGAAAATGTCTGATAAAAAGATGCAACAGAATTGGAAGATGAATAGAATTGGAAGATTAATCTCCATCACCAGGATACATACTTTCTTTCAACTGTCCTAATATTTCCCCAGACAGACTTTTGTCTCTTTGATTTTTGATCTCTAGGAAAAGGTACAGAAAGAAGCAACTACCCATTTGGAAGAGATGCAGGCATGCCAGCTATCAATCAGGTAAGCAGCACTGCTCTTTTATTTCAGTTAATTAATTAATTTGAAGCATTTTTAATCAAAGATTTATTCAGCAAAGTCTTGATCTCTTAGAACAGGGGTCTCCAAACTTGGTAACTTTAAGATTTGTAGACTACAACTCCCAGAATTCCCCAGCCAGCATGGCTGGTTGAGGAATTCTGGGAGCTGAAGTCCACAAGTCTTAAAGTTGCCAAGTTTGGGGACTCCTGTCTTAGAACAAAGAGATGTTTGTTTTCTTTCTCATAAGCAGGATAAGTAAACTTCACTTTTTCTCTAGGGGGGAATTACAGAACATATGAATTGGAAGGGATCTTAATATAGGTCATCTACTCCAAACCCCCTGCTCATTTCAGGAAACCGCTAAATCATTCCTCAACAGGAGGAGTGGGGCTACTTGTTCCCCATTTGAAAAGGTCCACAAGGGAGAGCTACCATCCAGCCTCCAAGGGGGAATCCACAATTCACCGCTGAAGCTCTCTGGCTTTCAAATTTAGCCTACACTGTTTATCCAAAAGAGATGTGCCAGATCAGACCAAGTCATGCTAATCCAGCATTCAGTTTTTCTCAACTCTGATCAGGATCTGGGCAGCTTCATAAATGGAATTTATCCATCCCTATCCCTATCCCGTCTATATCTATATATCAGTATAGCTATAGCTATATATCCAGTTGTGGGATTCAAATATGTGAATAACCGGTTCTCTTTGTAGATGCCGCTTCCGGAAGTCCATTCTGGGCTTGGGCAACAAAAAATTAGTTACTGATTCTGCCGAAGTGGTGCGAACTGGCTGAATCCCACCAGTGTATATATCTATAGCTATATATCTAGCTATGTATCATTTATTTCTATCATCTGTCTGTCTGTCTGTCTAGCCATCATCTATCTCTATATCATCTCTGTCTGTTTGTTTATCTGTCTGTCTGTGTTGGAGACCGCCCATCTCACTCACGGAGTGACACAAAGTTTGAAAGGAACAATCATCATTTTGACATCTTTAAATCTGCTACTTGTTTATATTCTGCTACTATTTGTTTGCATTACGTTCCCATGTTCAGATACCTTTGGCCTCCACTTCCTTGTGTTTCCCTCCCCCTCCATCGAAAAAATAAGTCTTTTTTGCTACAGTGTAAAAGCTGCCTGTTTCTGAGCACTGTAAGCTGATACCCCTTGGCTCTCCTTGTGGGTTTCTTGCAGTCTGCCCAGAATGCTGGGCTAAACGGACTTGGATCTTCATCCTTCATGATTTATGTGGTCACAGAGATGAGGTTTAGACCATGGGTCTCCAAACTTGGCAACTTTAAGACTTGTGGACTTCAACAGCATGGCTGACTGAGGAATTCTGGAGTTCAAGTTCACAAGTCTTAAAGTTGCCAAGTTTGGAGACCCATGGTTTAGACCAGGGGTAGGCAACCTTGGCTCTTTTATGACTCGTGGACTTCAACTCCCAGAATTCCTGAGCCAGCATGGCTCAGCTTGGAAACTCTCCCTTTTCCCTCAGCATGGCTGGCTCAGGAATTCTGGGAGTTGAAGTCCACGAGTCATAAAAGAGCCAAGGTTGCCTACCCCTGGTTTAGACAAATGATTTATTGAAGGAATCAAGCACAATATGAATGAGAGATCCTCTCAGTTTCACAGTTTATGCTAGTCATTCTTGCCGGTTGATGTTCTCTAAATATTTTGGATTATAATTCTCATCATTCCTAATGGGTATGTCAACTGGGAATTACAGTTGTTATTCCCAACCAACACATTTGGAGGGTGCTAAGTTGGGAAAGGGAATGGCCGGTGAGTAATGGCTGAATTTTATAATATATATATATATTTTCTCTCCCATCTCATCTCCACCTGTTCCTGTCTGAGCCGGGCTGTGCTGCAGTCACACTTGCATGTAAATCTTTCCTTTCTTCTAAAGGAAAAATAAGATAACATCTTAAAATGGTGGCAGGAGAAAGAAGAGAGCGTTGTTGTGTTTTTTCTTCTTCTTCAAAACATTAGACCAATTTTTCCAAAACTTCTGAGACAGGCAGATTTATACATATATATATATTTTTCTGCTGAATTTCAAAGCAGATGTGCGAGGACGGCTATGGGTGCCAAAATAGATGTAATTTTAAAAACAGAACAGGAGACTTGCCAGCCGGCCATGTGTTTAAATAGTATGGAGTTTGCTTGTGTTGTTGTTGTTTTAATTTGCTTTCTGGTAGGCGGAGGAGAGAGGCATAATTGAAAGGGTGACGTCATGAATGGAAGAATCAGTGGGAAGAGCAAGGCTCTTGCTGTGGAGATCATAAATCAAGGGGAAGAAAGCATAGCTTGTAAGTTGCTTAGGAAAGTGGCCTGCCAAATCCAACATTATTGGTGAGACACAGTCTAAACATTTCCTGCATCAGCTCCTTAATGGTAGACTGCTTTTGAACAGGGAGTTTTCCTTTCCCACCCCCCAACACTTACCAGTTACTGGTCTGGTAAGAATTGGTAGAGATGAACATTCTGATGAGGCAAACTAGATGTTTCTCAGGTGATCCTCAAGCAAGACATAAAAAAGGAACACTTGCTCTTTATTATTTGTCTCCCCACATCTAATCTTTATTTATTTGTAAAATTTGTTCGCCGCCCATCTTGCCCCAAGGTAACTCTGGGCAGCTTAGAGTAGAATGATTAGAGTAGAAACGAGATCTTGGCAGCTTATTTGTGACACTCCAAAATTTTACAGCCATTTCTTTAGTGAATGTTTGTGGTTACAATGGCACTGGGGAAAAAAACGACTTATGACCAATCCTCATAGTTATGACCGTCACAGCATTCCCCCACAGCCATGTGAACAAAATTCAGGCACTTGGCAACCAGCATGCATTTACAAAGTTTGCAGTATCCTGGGGTCAATGTGATCACCATTAGCAACTTTCCAGAAGTCCTTTGGCAGGCAAAGTCAGTGGGGGAAGCCGGATTTATTTAACGACATGATTCATTTAACAACTAGGGCAAAAAAGGTCAAAATCAGGGTGTGGTTCACTTAACTTAGCACTGCTTAGCAATGGAAATCCTGGTCCCAGTTGTTGTAAGTTGAGAACTACCTGTAAGGCTTTTTTTTCCCCTTCAAAATTAAAAATGGAAATCCTCTCTCTTGCTTGCTTACTTACTTATGTACAGTATTTATTTGGGAAACTTATATGGAACCCTATCTTAGACATGATAATCCTAGGTAGCTCATATCAACATTTCATAAAAACAAAGGTATAGTCAAACCCACAAAACTCCACTAAAGACATACTTCTCACCACAGCCCCATAACATCTCATTAAATCTACATTGACTGGGCTCATTTCTATCCTAGCCCAATGCTTGAGCCAGGTCTTCACCTCATCTGGAAGCCTTCCTTCCTTCCTTCCTTCCTTCCTTCCTTCCTTCCTTCCTTCCTTCCTTCCTTCCTTCCTGACAGCAGATGATCTCCAGGAAGTAAACCATTTCCATTTCCTCTTAAGTCCTCCCCCCACCTAAAAAACCCAGCCTCTGACCTCCCATGTCTTCCTGGAAGGTCAAATTGTATCTGGATCCCACAAAAGGTATGTATTCTGATTTAGAGAGCTGCTACGCCAGTGGAAGAGGGAAATTTTTCTGCTTAAGTATCATACATATGTAAGCAGAGTATCAGAAAACCCATGTTGCCATAACCCAACAGTTTTGTCTAGCCCAGAATTCTGTTTCCAGTAGGGGCTGGCTAAGACGCCTGAGGAATTCAAGATGTGATCCGGTTCAGCACCATTGGATATGGAATGTGCACTTTCTAATCACACCAGTTTTCTATCTGAATTCTGAAAATAATTGAAGTGTAATAAAAAACTGATGTGAAGAAAGACTAAGAGCCCAATTAGCCTGGTGTCCTGCCTCCAGCCCCATCAGGCCCAATGTCTTGGGAAGCATCACAAAGCATAGATCGAGTTGCTGTCCTGCTTCTTTCCAACATCTGCTAAACAAGGCTTTTGCAACTAATACAGAACTCAGCGAAACCTCTATGCTCAGAAACTAATTTGAGGCCTCTCTTCAGATGAGGTGGACCTGTGCTCAGTTCAGCCACGATCTGTTTTACATGGATCTGGAAATCGTCTTTGCCACCCGCAGTTATTTTCCTCTTTAATTTCTCCTTCACTGTAAGAGCCAGACTCTGGAGATTACAGGTAGTCCTCGACTTACGACCACTATTGGGACCAGGATCTTCATTGCTTGTTAAGTGAATCATGAGGTTGTTAAGCAAATCCGGCTTCCCCCATTGACTTGGTTTGGTTGGAAGCTGACTGGGAAGGTCGGAAATGGTCAACACAGGACCCTGGATGCTGCACCATGATATAGTGCAGGGGTCTTCAAACTTGGCCCTTTTATGACTTCTGGACTTCACCTTCCAGAATTCCTCAGCCAGCCATGCTGGCTGAGGAATTCTGGGAGTTGAAGTCCACAAGTCATAAAAGGGCCAAGTGTGAAGACTCCTAATATAGTGCATGCCAACTGCCAAATGCCCCAATTTTGATCATGTGACCATGGGGATGCTACAATGGCTGTAAGTGCGATGACCAGTTGTATGTCACTTTTTTTAGTGTCTTATTTTGAACGCTAAACAAATGTTGAGGACTATCTGTATATTGTGTAGAAATTAGTCCCTAAACTGGAGAGTACCATTTGGCCAAAGATGAGGAACCTGTGGCCTAGTAGAGGTTGCTAAACTACCAATACCAGCATCCCTTTCCTGTTGGCCCTGCTGGATAGGACTGTGTGCCTTGGACTGCAGAGGTTGAAGTCCATCCTACCCGGAGGTTATCATTGAGGAACGTTGCGATGGATTTCTGCCAGGTTGGCAAAGGTGTGAAAGAGCTAGACTAGCCAAACAGGAATATAAACCTGGCACTATTGCTCACATGCGTCCACACCTGGCACTCGGCTCCTCCTCGTTTTGTAAAACCATATTCGGCAAGAGATTTGAGTTTTGTTCAGGCTCTGATGGGGCCCTCTTGTTTTTCTTGTTTCTGCAGCCTGGCTTTCTGCCTAGCGAAATAGGGATTTCGAGTCCCAGCACGCTCTCCCCAACGGGGGTGAAGGGAAGCTCTCAGTACTACCCATACGCCAACAATCCTCGCAGGAGAGTCGCAGACAGCAACATAGGTATGTGGCCTTGGTGAAGGGTGTTGGCTGGAGCAGTTGCCTTTGCGGGGGGTTGTGTGTAGCAAAAGTTCTTAATTGCAAAGTAGGAAGACCAAAAGACGTTTCCTGTCAGGGTCTCACTGCAGCCCTTCCATTAGAGAAAGTGCACTGTTGTTCAACCTTAGCAATTTTAAGATGTGTGGACTTCAATTCCCAGAACTCCATGTCCAGCTTGCTGGCTAGGGAATTCTGGGAACTGAAGTCCACACATCTTAATTGCCAAGGCTGAAAAACACTTATCTAAACCACCATTCTTGCTCAAACATGGGACAACTAAGGGCTTCTAAGAAATCCAAGAATTGACTGTGAGGGCAGTAATCATCTCTGACTTATTGTTAAACCATATGCCAGCATTTGGAGGGAAGGTTTCAGTGTAATTGTATCAGTCTTGTCTTCGCTAGGGAGAGACAGTTGCATCGGGTCCAAACTGAATAACTAAATATAGAGAGAGGGTAGCTGCGCTTCCCACAACTTTTGTTCAGAGGTAGATTAATTCCAGACAATCAGCCTCCTTTGAATCATCATCGCCAGCAGCCTGAAATAGACCTAAGTATGGATTTGTCTTCTTCAGTTCATTATTTTCCTGCCATTGGATGACCCAAGAATCTAATATTTGGAGACAAAGAGAAAAAAAATCTTAACACTGTGGATCAGTTGTCCTCAAATTAGTGTTGCTCTAAATGTGCTATGACAGCAATTCTAAGAAATGGAAGGTGATGCTATTGGGAATTTTTTAAAATTAATTTACTAACTTTAGTTAAGAAAATTTATATGGCCGCCCACCTCACTCTCAGTGACTCTGGGAGTCTTAACAAAGATAATTTGAGGAATTATGATCCCAATGTATCTGGAGAGGTATCAGTTTAGAGAGAGATATTCTAACTTGGTGTTTCTCAAGCTTGGCAACTTTAAGATGCGAGAATTTCAATTCCCAGAATTCCCCAATCGGCATGACCAGCTGGGGAATTCTGGGAGTTGAAGTCGCATGTCTGAAAGATGCCAAGGTCGAGAAACATTGCTCTAACCAGTTTGGTAATGCTTTCTTGTAAAAACTGTGTCCCAAATCTTACAGAGCATCTTTCTCTGTCCAAGGATTCCACCAATTATTGGTACTGGGTCTCCGAAAGGTGTTGCCCTGTCAATGATGTAATAACAGCAACAGAAGCAATATTTATTTTACCGAGGGAAAATGGCCATGTACACTTGTTACAACAGAAACCATCTTTTTGTGACACTTTCCCAAGTGTTTCCCAAACTGTGAGGTGTATCTTCCCTGAGGAGATACAGATAGAATCCCAGGGAAGTGTGAAGAACTTTTTAGTGTACAATTACAGTAAATCCAGCCTTCCCATACGTTCAGTTGTACTGTTTCCATTGTCAAGTTGTATTCATTTTGGTGTTTGGATTTTTTAGGGAAGGTGTGTATATTAACATTGCACTAAAGGGAGGGGTGATGGCAAAAAGCGTAGCAATCCGTGCTGTAAAGTCTTCTGTGGAATCCATCAGTCTAAGAAACCTTTGCCTTAGTAGCAATATTGTTGTCATTTTAACAATATTACTACAATGAAAACATAATAGGCAAAATGTCATTATTACCATATCAAATCTTTCCCCTCAAGAAGCTGAAGCTTGCCTGAATTTTCATTCATTCATTCATTCATTCATTCATTCATTCATTCATTCATTCATTATTTCCCGCCTTTATTATTTTTACAAATAACTCAAGGTGGCAAACATATCCACTACACCTCCCTCCTCCTCCTTTTCCCCACAACAAGCATGTGAGGTGAGTTGGGCTGAGAGAGAATGATTGGCCCAAAGTCACTTAAGCTGGCTTTCATGGCTATGGCAGGATTAGAATTCACAGTCTCCCAGTTTCTAGCCTGGCGCTTTAAACCATTAGACCAAACTGGCTCTGTCCTTCCAGTTTCATTCATCTATAGCAGTGGTTCTCAACCTGTGAGTCGGGACCCCATTTGGGGTCGATCGACCATTTTATGGGGGTCGCCAAGCAAGGCTGTCTGCCATTTTTTTTGTCCGCCATTTTTTTTGTCCATTTTTCCCCCTTTTCCGGCGGGTGCCTTACCTCCCTTGGGCTGGGCCAGCTGGTGGTCGGCCTGCTCCGTCTCTGCCGCTTGCCAGCTACGCCTCGGCCGGCGCAGGGGGCGGAACCACGCATGCGCGGCGCTCCCGGGCAGGGACAGTCCTCGACTTACCACCAGTTGGGTAGTCCTCAACTTATGACCGGTTTAGTCCTCGACTTACGACCGGTTTAGTCCTCGACTTACGACCGGTTGGGGTCGCGGCATTAAAAAGGTTGAGAACCACTGATCTATAGACTATGCAAGGCAGATTCCTCTGACAGTGAATGGGTCTATTGTAAAGGCAGTCCATAGAACTTTAATAAAAGATGGGATTTGAATCCAGATCTCCTTATACCCCTCCACCCACTTTGTCATGCGGGGCATGAAACAAATAGAGGAGGCCAGAAGATCCGTGCGCTGGGTGGGACCACTTCAGGTGCTCTGTGCTTTGGGAAGCTCAGCCAGCTGCCGAGTATCCTGCATCCCATTGCTTTGAAGTCAGTTCCCCAGAAAGCTGCAAGCAGCAGCAGCTAGAGAAGCTTGACTTGACGAAAAAATGAATTGGAGTCTCATAAGGATGTTTTGAGATAGCTTCCAGCACATCCTTCCTGGCAAGCAATTTTGCCAGCCAAATCCAAGCTGCATGTCAATAAATATTCCTTTTATCCTCCCCCATCTGCTGTCCAATTCAGAGGAGCACAGGGGAGGATGCTGGGAGATCTTCCTTTAAAAAGCCAGCCTCCCAGATCTTTCCAAGTGACCCTCCCCCAACTCTTTATGAGGTGGGATGGAGGTAGTTGCTCCATTTTGCCTTCAGGAGAACCCGGACATCTGGCATTCATTGATGGAAAAGAATCTCAGGAATGGAGACCTTTGAGTAAATGCAGCCGTGTGGCTTTTTCTCTGCCACTCAGTGGCCAGGATCAAAGGTGGGGGAGATGTCAGCCGTTTGCAATCATTATTAATGTATATAATGTATATAATATTTTGCAAAGAGCAGGTGTGCAGGTCCTGGCCCCATTTCCCTGGCCTTACAATTTAAAACAGACCCAGGAAAGAGATAGAAAAGGGAGAAACAGAAGCAGAGAGCAGCAGAGTGCAAGGCCATACTAGCAAGGGATGAAGAGAAGGATGGATTGGTAGGATAAAACACTCAGGGCTTACCAAGGCCTTCTTAATCACCATAACAATAACAATTAATAATTAGAGATGTGCAGGAATCTGACCCATAGAGGGAGTGATATTTCAGATCTGCCATGAGCATGATAAGCAAGGGCATCCATTTTAGACTCGATCCACCTTTGCTGCTTTAGATTTGAGCACTGCCTATTTTAAAAAATAATACATCTAGTCCAAATTTCGCTTCAGCCTCAGCCTTTGGGGAGGTTGCTAGTCAGCCTTTGAAAACTTATGCTTGCCTCCTTTTGAGAGCAGAGGTCTTCAAACTTGGCCCTTTTATGACTTGTGGACTTCAACTCCCAGAATTCCTCAGCCAGGCATGCTGGCTGAGGAATTCTGGGAGTTGAAGTCCACAAGTCATAAAAGGGCCAAGTTTGAAGACCCCTGTTTTGAGAGTATACAGGTAGTCTTTGACTTATGACCACAACTGAGCCCAAAATGTCCATTGCTAAGCAAAGCAGTTGTTAAGTGAGTTTTGCCCCATTTTACGACCTCTTGTTAAGGAAATTACTGCAGTTGTTAACTTAGTAATTAACCCACTACCACTGCAGGTGTTCCTCGATTTACAACCACAATGGAGCTCAGAATTTCGGTTGTAAATTGGGGCACCACATGACCAGACTCGATTTTACAACTGTTTTACAACAGTCGTAAAGCAAGTCAATGTGATTATTAAGTAAATCATGTGGTTGAATCAAATGGGCATTTTTAGTGGAAACTAGCAAAAAAAAAACCCCTGCACATTGTGGTCATGTGACTGCAGTGCCCTGCAACAAGTTGTAAATGTGGGCCAGTTGCAAAGATCCAAAATATGATCACACGACTGCGGGGGAGGGGGGATATGACAAGTCACAACTTTGACAATGGATTGTACATATCTTTTGTTAAGTCCATCATAATTTTAACCGTTTGTTAAACAACCAGTCATAAGTCAAGCTCTACCGATATTTCTCTTTTCCCCTCTTTCTGCAAAATATCTCATTTAAAAGAGCTTTTTTTCTTACTTCCAAGAAAATCCCCAAAAGGAGAACTATGTTTTAAACCTAAAAGGAGTTCATAATGCTCACCCTTATCCTTCTTTTTGACCTCGTGGGGTAGAGGGGAGAGTAGCTTCACAGACGTGAGTTAATAAACCTTAGCAACTTTTTTCCCCCTGCATCAGTTCTTCTTTCCTCTTCATTTATGAAGATCCTGGGAAAAAAAAAAAAGCTTCCTTCCTTCAATGATTCAATTCATTCCCCTCATTTGCATGTCAAAAATGTTCTCAAGAACAAAGCACCTTCCGTGATCATTCAGAGATTCTCTCCAGCTCAGTACTCTCTTGGGTACCTTGAACTACAAAAGCCATCTTCCTTAGGGAATTACAAAGGTGTAGTCCAGCAGATTCGGGGAAATGCTGGGTAGAGGAAGATGGGCCTAAAGAATATATCTTGAGTGCAAAGGCAGTTCATATTTTATGAATATTTAAGGGGCCATCTGTCTCTTGTAGAGTTGGCATGCTTTGAGTCCCATCGATTGAACAGAGCTACAATGGGCCCCACCTTCTCTATCACAGCATCTGTTCTCCAACACAGTATCTCCAGTGGTTCAAATGACCCAAACCTGACCTTGTTTAAGCATGTTTTGAAGATCTGGCTCTTCCCCCCAGTCCATGGATTAGGGACTACATCAGTCCTTCATTGGGAATATGTGAGACAAGGGTTACAGTTTTATGCTGTACCCGGATGTCTGTTGTTCTTTTTGCTGGCTAAAATGTGCTGTTCTTAATACTGTACATGGCTGAGAGTCATTATGGTGTTGGGTGGCTTCGGAAAATTTAACAAATGTCACTGGAAGTGCAAGCTTCACTAATAATGGGATATAATTAACAAGAACGAAAGGAAGACAAAACGGTGTGAAACTGTGAATGCCAAAAATACACGCTGCCTTTATCTCAAAACATTGCTTAGCAGTCAGAAGCAGAGCCCTCTTAGAAAGCCCAGTTATTCTGTCTTTAGTAAAGGACAGTCAAAGCAGACATGAAAAGGACGAGTAGATGCAATCATGCCCTTGTTATTATTATTTTTTCCCTCCAAGAGTTAAAGATGGGCCTTACTTGTCTGTGGAGATTCTCGGTCACCCAGGTCATGGTTGTCCCAAAGGTGCTTTTTCAAGAGGCAACTGGACTTCCTTTGTTTTTCCCTGAAGATGTTTTGCTTCTCATCCAAGAAGTTTCTTCGGTTCTGAGGAAAGAACTGAAGAAGCTTCTTGGATGAAAAGCAAAACGTCTTCAGAGAAAAACAGAAAGTCCAGTTCCCTCTTGAAAAAGCACCTTTGGGACCTGAGCCTTACTTTAGGGGTAGTCAATCTTGGCTCTTTTATGACTCGTGGACTTCAATTCCCAGAATTCCTGAGCCAGCTAAGCTGGCTCAGGAATTCTGGGAGTTGAAGTCCACGAGTCATAAAAGAGCCAAGGTTGACTACCCCTGCCTTACTTTATCGCTCCTGGCTGATGAATTCTGACAGATACTCCATTTCTCCTTGATAAGTTTGCCTTGTCCCTTTTTAAAGCCATCAGTATCTGTGGCTTAACATTACTGGTATACCTCGACTTACAACTGTAATTGAGTCCACAATTTTGGTTGTAAGTCATTAACGGTCATAAAGTGGGCCGTCATGTGACCCATCTGATTTTATGACCTTTTATGTGGTGGTTGTTACGCAAATGCAATAGTCGTAAAGTGAATGCCACAGTCATTAAATGAACCCATTGTACAACACGGGCTCTTTTTGGCCAGAAACCAGAAATAAACACTGGTTACTGGCCTAATTGACATAAATTGTGGTCATGTGACCATGAGGTGCTGAAAATGGCCATAAATATGGGCCAATTGCCGAGCACCCACAATGCAGTTACATGACCCCAAGTTGGGGGCATACATTGGGAGTTCGAATCTGGGTCGTAAGTCCCATGTTCAACGTCTGTCAAAAATTCAGATGGTTGCTAAGTGACTGGTCATAATTCGAGGACCACCTGTAATAGACTTCCTTGGATGAAGTTCTTCCTTTGTTTGTTCCAAATTTTCTTGATTTCATGGGGGGAGGTGGGAGACTCCACCTTCTACTTCCTTTCTGTGTAGACCAGGGTCCTACCAGGCATTGGGTTAATCTTTTGAATTGAAGTCACGTAAAGAAGTCTAATCCTTTGCTGAGTGACCCAGGATGAGCTGATATTTTCCATTTTAACCTACTGGTACAAGATTGTTGCAAGGATGCTGCGTGTATTGGGGGGAAGATATATGCTGTCTTCAGCTTTTATGAAAGAAGGTGAAAAATAAATACAGAACCGAAATTTATGTTGATGGAAGGCTATTTCATTACGCTGTTTTAGCTGAGTTTTATTTTAAAGCTGGTGGCTTTTACCAACAGTTATTCCAAATACCTTCAGTTGCATGTTTTGAGGTTGATTTTTAAAAACTGTCTCCCAACATTCATTTAGAAGAGCAGGGTACTCTACAAACTCTTAAATTTAAGTTGTTATTGTTGTTGTTAAGCTCTGGTAGGCCTTGGAAAAATCAAGGTAACCAATCTGTAAAATGGGTTTTGAAATCTGGATCCAAATCTTCCTGCTATATAGTGCTGTTCCAAAGCTTTGTCTCTAAACGGCTTCCTTTTTATTTCTTTGTTTGTTCGTCTCCTCCTACAACACATTCAGATGGACAACCGAAAAAAGTCCGAAAGGTGCCTCCAGGACTCCCGTCTTCAGTAAGTTACGATTTTCTCTACCCATCTATCAAAGTTGATCAAGAATCCAGCTGTTATTGCATTGAAGGCAGTTCTTCTCCTCTTTCCGATTGGTGGAACTTCAGTGATGTCAGAGAACATTTGAGAGCCACTGGGGGGGGGGGGAGAGAGAAGGCTGCTGGCAGAGTGCCAATTTTTTCTAACTAGTATAGTATAAAGTAGAGCCCAAGGCCAGTTTAACTGCAAGAGGCTGCTTGATTTCAGAAAAGCCCATGACCAATTGAAGTCAAGGGGAGGAAGCTTGTGGTATTGGGGAGGAAGGGATCACAACTGGGTGTGGACATGTCAAAGAGCTGTGGGAGGATAGGAGTCAGGGTAAGAAGGGGAACAAATAAACTCAGCAATAATGAGATAGACAGGGGAAGCCGAGGACAGCAGACAAAATCAGAGAGGTGGAGGGCATCTTAAAGATCATCTATCTCAATTCTTTACCAGGCTAGAAAGTCTACTACTGCAAAATACTTGTTAAATGTCCATCCGATCCCAGTTTAAACAAAGACCGGCCAGGCAACATTTATACCAAGTGTTAAAAAGAGGTCATAATAATAATAAAGTTGGAAGGGACCTTGGAGGTCATCTAGTCCAACCCCCTGCTCAGGTAGGAAATCCTATACCAGTGATGGCGAACCTTTTAGAGACCGAGTGCCCAAACTGCAACCCAAAACCCAGTTATGCATCGTCGAGTGCCAGGTGGGTGTGGCCCATTGGGCGGGCGTGGCCCATTGGATGGGCGTGGCTGCAGTGGTAACGGCAGACTGGGTGGGACTAAAAAGTTCAATCAATCAATTCCAACTTTGCAAGATCTTTTTTTTTCCCGCAAGAAGTTTAAATTGACTGATTGAACCTTTTTTTTTTTTTTGCACATGGCAGCAGAGGCCTAAAGCGAAAAGGTTTTATAAAACCCAGCTGAAGGCCTAGGACTGGGGCGACGGCACGCGTGCCCACAGAGAGGGCTCTGAGTGCCGCCTCTGGCACCCGTGCCATAGGTTCGCCACCACTGTCCTATACATTTCAGACAAATGGCTGTCCAGTCTCTTCTTAAAAACTTCCAGTGTTGGAGCATTCACAACTTCTGGAGGCAGGTTGTTCCACTGGTTGATTGTTCTAACTGTCAGGAAGTTTCTCCTTAGTTCTAGGTTGCTTCTCTCCTTGTTTAGTTTCCATCCGTTGCTTCTTGTCCTGCCTTCAGGTGCTTTGGAGAATAGCTTGACTCCTTCTTCCTTGTGGCAACCTCTGAGATATTGGAACACTGCTAGGTGGAAGCCAAGATCCTGAATATAGATTATAAAGAAGTGTTTCTCAACCTCAGCAACTTTAAGATATGTGGACTTCAACTCCCAGAATTCCATAACCAGCATGTCTGGCTGGGGAATTCTGGGAGCTGAAGTCCACAAATCTTAAAGTTTTCAAGATTGGGAAACACTGCTGTACAGGATATTATAATCATTTCAGTTTAAATATTGATCTAGCTGGGTCATATTTTGGGGGATATCTATATTTCTGTAACCATACTTTGCATCATTCTGGCAGTCCGCACGTGTATGATATTTTGCGCATTGTATCTTTGTTTCAATTACAAATTAGTGGCGACAAAGCTGAACAGTAGAACACCTGAACTTTTCTGAAGATGGGGGTACATACCAACATACCCCAAAGTCTGGTATTTAGAGAAAAGAGCTTTGAAAAACCCCTTCTAATACTGCCTGTGAATTTATGTCCCCATGCTTGTAAACAAAAGGCTGGAATAAGAGAAGTTGTATTCCATTAAGATATGAATAACTACTTTCTCACTCCAAAGCAAATCAAAGGCTTGTAATGGAATCATTGTTTATTGTTGCACTGTTGTGTTACACCTCCTTTCAATGCAAGCTCTTTCGGTTATTTTCTTTTAGGAAGGAAAATGGGATATAATATTAAACTGAACTAACAATTTCCACCTGTCTATTTTGTGTTTTCTACAGATAGTCCTTGACTTACGACCACACTTGATCCCAAAATTTCTGTTACTAAGTGAGACTGTTGTTAAGTGACAACATTTTGCGACCTTTCTCGCAACAGCTGTTCAATGAATCAACTTCAGTTGTTAGTAACACGTTTGTTAAGTGAATCTGGCTTCCCCATTGACTTTACTTATCAGAAGGTCACAAAAGGTGATCACGTAACTCTGGGACGCTGCAACCGTCATAAATAGGAACCAGTGGCCAAACATCTGAATTTTGATCATGTGACCATGGGGATACTGCAATGGCCGTGAGAAAGACGGTCAGAAATCACTTTTTTCAATGCCGTTATAACTTCGAACAGTCACTAAATGAACTGTTGTAATTTGCGGACTACCTGTATAAGCAGTTGCAGTCCCCGAGTGTGTGACATCCAGCCACAACTGGATTCCTTGCTCTCATGAAGTTACACAGATATGACTCTCTTATGAACATAATGATATTCTGTCTATTTAGGGCAGGGGTCCCCAACCCCCGGTCTGTGGACCGGTACTGAGCCACGGCATGCCAGCAACCGGTCCGCACAAACAAGCAAAGCCCCATCCGCGGGATGCAGGCAGCATACGAAACCACACCTCCTCCAGTCCACGGAAAAACCTTTCTCCATGTAACCGGTCCCTGGTGCTCAAAAGGTTGGGGACCTCTGGTTTAGGGTGTTATTGTATAGTCAGTATTCTGTCTGGGGACACAGAGATAAGGGCCAGAGCTGGCCTCTGGACTGCCCGCTTTGTTCCTCTCCTCTGTTTTCCAGCAGACCTTTTGGCTCCCCATTTTGCATCACCAAACCTTTTTCTGAGTTGTATCCCTAATCATCCAGACCACAGGTACAGAAGTCCTCGACTTCTAACTATTCATTTAGCGACCATTGGAAGATAAGTGCAGAATGAAAAAAAAGTGACTTACGGCCTATCCTCACACTTGCAGCATCCCCAGGGTCACGTGATCAAAAGTTGGGTAACCGGCATATATTTACGATGGCGGTAGCGTCCCAAGGTCACCAATCTCTATTTGCAACCTTCCCAGCGGGCTTCCGACAAGCAAAGCCAATGGGAGAAGCTGAATTTGCTTAATGGCTGCATGATTCATGTAATAACTGCGGTGATTTGCTTAATAATCTTAGCAAAAAAGGGTTGTAAAATTGGGTGTGGCTCACTTAACAACCACCTTGCTTAGCAATGGAAATTCTGGTCACAATTCTGGTCGTAAGTCAGGGACTACCTGTAGTAATTTATAGATTAAAGTTAAGATTTTGAGACAATAGAATTCTACCCCCTTCTGTTGTTTTTCTAGAATTCATTTTTTTTCTTGTCAGAATAAAGCATACTATGTATAAAAGCGGTACTGGCCGTAAAATTGATAACGCAAGGCCATGAAAATCTTGCTTCCTGAATCAGACTTACCAGTTAGTTGATGCGCTCTCTTGCACTCCATATTTATGCTCTTTCTCCTCCCAATTTCTCTCTTCTGTTTGGGGGCAGGAAGCCCCTTATTCTTAACTAGATATGTCTAGTCTACTCTTACAAAGAGAAGGACTAGGGGTGACATGATAGCAGTCTTCCAATATTTGAGGGGTTGTCACAGAGAAGAGGGGGTCAACCTATTCTCCAAAGCACCTGAAGGCAGGACAAGAAGCAATTAATCAGTGGAACAGCTTACTTCCAGAAGTTGTGGGTGCTCCATCACTGGAGTTTTTTTAAAAAAAAATGGACAACCGTTTGTCTAGAATAGTATAGTAGTATAGTATACTAATACTCTAGGACAGGGGTCTTCAAACTTGGCCTTTTATGACTTTGTGGACTTCAACTCCCAGAATTCTGGGAGTTGAAGTCCACAAGTCATAAAAGGGCCAAGTTTGAAGACCCCTGGTCTAGTCTAACAAAGAGAAGGACTAGGGGTGACATGATAGCAATCTTCCAATATTTGAGGAGTTGTCACAGAGAAGAGGGGGTCAATCTATTCTCCAAAGCACCTGAAGGCAGGACAAGAAGCAATGGATAGAAACTGATCAAGGAGAGAAGCAACCTAGAACTAAGGAGGAATTTCCTGACAGTGAGAACAATTAATCAGTGGATCAACCTGCCTCCAGAAGCTGTGAATGCTCCATCGCTGGAGGTTTTCAAGAAGAGACTGGACAGTCATTTGTCTGAAATGGTATAGGGTCTCCTGCTTGAACAGGGGGGTGGACTAGAACATCTCCAAAATCCCTTCAAACCATATTATTCTATTTTCTATGTTCTTTTCCACCTGTCTTCCGACACTATTCTATGGCTCCAAAGATCCTGTCTTTTGATGCAAGATCTTATTTCCTCCCTAGACGTGAATGCCCTTACTTGATCCGTTTTCACATTTCCCCAGTGAGGATTGTGCATTTATACCATGATAAAGACAGCTAAATAGGAGAGATGCAAAAAAAGTTTAGATGCAAAATGATTTTTTTAAATTATTATTCTTACTGGATGGCGATGAAGTTTGCTAAGTGGGACGATCCATTCTCTGCTTCTCAAATAAGAATTTTAAAGGGAGGAAAAAATCTTGTCTGTAGAATCTGGACGTTCCTCCTCCTCCTCCTCCTCTTTCTCTTTGCTGACAGCAGCATAAAGTCTGAGTTGAAGAGGATGGGGAGGGGGTTTCCTGTGGGGTGGGATGAGGGAGAATAGGGATGGGGTTGAAGAACACTCACCCAGGGGAGATAAACTTTGATTTAGCGTTTCCTGTTTGGGTAAGATTCTGTCCTTGCCCCCTTTCCAAAGTGGATCTGGATAGGGAAACATTTGCTTTCTGCACCAGCCTTTACATCTGGGGTTCATTCTGTGGCCCCCATTTCTTGGCTCCACTCCAGAGGGAAGAAGGCGATCATGGTATGAATCCACACTGGAGTTCACTCTTTTCTGCAGTCACTGTTTCTTGCCACTGTTTTATAGCAGTGCAAACTCCATGATTTATTTGGTGTGCCCGTCTCCT